ACAAGAAAAAAAAGTGAAGCATATGAAGAAACAGGAAAATGTGACCCATTCACAGGAAAAAAAGGAACTGGACAGAAGCCATCGCAGAGGAAGCTTAGACATTGGAATTAAAAATTAAAACATTAAATTGGGGTACCTGTGTAGCTGACCATCCCAACTCTTGATTTTGGCTCAGGTCATTATCCTGGGGTCGTGGGATTGAGCCCCATTTTTGGGCTCCGTATTCAGCAAGGAGTCTGCTTCTCTCTCCCTCTCCCTCTCCCCTGCTTGCCCTTGCACGCTCTCTCTTTCTAAAATAAATAAGTAAATAACTCTTGTTTTTAGAAAAAAGACTTTAAATCCACTGTGTTAAATTACTTGGCCAGAGGAAATCATGGACAAAGAACTAAAGGTAATTGAGAATATACAATGTCTGCACAAAATGAGACCATCAAGAAAGAAATTATAAAAAGGGAACAAATTCTGGAGCAGAAAAAAAAAGTACAGTAACTGAAATGAAAATTTTTTTAAAGATTTATTCATTTATTTTAGAGAGGGAGAGAGAATCTCAGGCAGACTCCCTGCTGAGCAGGGAGCCCGGTGCAGGGCTCAATCTTACAAACCTGAGATCATGACCTGAGCCCAGACTAAGAGTCAGACACTCAGCCAACTAAGCCACCCAAGCGCCCCAAAATGAAATTTATTAGAAGGGTTTGGCAGCAGATGTGAGCAGACAGAAGAAACGATTAGCAAGCTGAAGACCATCAAAATTATTCAGCCTGGGGAACAGAAAGAAAGAAAGAATTACGAAAGATGAACACAGCCTGAGAGATCTGCAGGACATCATCATCCATGCCAAATACACTTCATCGGCGCTCCAGAGGTAGAATATTTAGAGAGAAAACATTTGTGAAAATCAGATGGCCCAAAACTTCCAGAATTTAATGAATTTACACATCTAAGAAGCTTAATGAATTCCAAGGAGGATAAACTCAAGAAAACTACACCAGGACACATTACAATCAAGTTGTAACTTGAATTTGCAAAGTAACAAGAACTTGAAAGCAAGAGAATCAGCTTGTCATATATAAGGAATTCTAAAGATGTTCACACTTGATTGCTCATCAGAAATCATGGATGCCAGGGACACCTGTGTGGCTCAGTCATGTAGTGCCTGCCTTCAGTTCAGGTCATGATCCTGGGGTCCTGGGATCGAGACCTGTGTTGGGCTCCCTGCTCAGCAGGGAGTCTGCTTCTCCCTCTTCCTGTATCCCTCTCCCCATTTGAGTGCGTGCACGATCTCTCTCTCTCTCTCAAGTAAATAATATCTTAAAAATTACATTTATTATTACTATAGCAAGCCACTGTAAAACTCATCCTAGTTCCCAAATATTTCCAACTGTATGCTTTCCAGGTCCACAACAGAATCACGCTCCTTAGTTCCTTGTATGGTGTGACTCATTCTAGCCAGTGAGCTGTAAGCCGATGTGACGTGTCATCCTGGGCTGGAACATTTAACTGCAGGAGCAAGACCCCCCAGTAGTTTTCACTTAGCCGAGACACCCAGCAACAGTCCGTATCGTGGCTGCTCCTTCAGCTGGAGAAGGAATGATGCAGAGCCCGTGGAAAAAATTACATTAAAAATTCCATTAAATACAAAAAATATCAGTAAATGAAGAGTTGAACAATGGGAACATAGACATACGGAAAACAAATGGTATGTGGCAAAAGTAAATCTTTCCTTATCAGTAATAACCAAGTCCTCTTCCCCAAGCATCTCACGCACACAGCCTTTACTTCTTACATTGCTCCCGTCTGCAGCTGTTTTGTGCCTAGTCTCTGGCTGATCTGTACTGTATTGTCAGGCTCGATGGAGCTCAGCATCTTCTTTCTTCTCATCTAAACTTCAGGGAGTGCAAGTCAACCTCCCCATGGTCTTTGATTTGATTTCTGCCTTGGCCACCCACCTTGAGAGATTCAGTTGTCTTCGCTGTATTTTGTTTGCTTTTCTGATTCTTGCTGGACAGCCTAAAACAGAAGTGTCTTAGAATAAAGAGGAGCCTGTCAGCCGTCTCCGTTGGCCCTGGCTGTGACAAGAGGGAGAGATTTGGGTCATGCCATCAGGCTGCGTGGTTTGCAAAGAATTTCTTCTTACGGACACACATTGAGGACAGTTGGTTCCCTCTGGTGCTGTGCTTCTGCTGCTGGAGGTGGAGGAGGTCCGAGGGCCACTGGTAGGGGGCTGAGCTGGGAGGGTGGTCCTTGACTCCAGACGAGGTGCAGGACTGGCAGGTGCCATGGGCTTCTACTCTGAGCTCTGGTACTCCTCCACTGCTGATTTTCCACCTTGCAGAGCCAGGTGGGAATAGCAGGCTTGCCGCACGTATTGTTTACTGCATTGTCAGACACCTGCTGAACCTGCCAGGTTGGGGGAAGAATGCAGTTATTAGGGTCAGCAGAAGGGGAGGAGGGACTTCCTATCATGGGGGTGGCCCTCCACCTTGGGTTTCTTGGCGTCACTAAGGTGGCCATCACACTCTGGTACTTCCAGTGCTGTTCGTGAGTCCTGGATCCCACCCATAGCCCATGTTCACGACCTTGGTCACCCTGGGGGTCCTTCTTGTCATGAGGCACTTTATGTAAGATCTGAGTTTCTCCTTCTGGCCATATTTATCCATGGATCCCTCATAATATTTTCTAATGTTCCTCTATTGCTGGGGTTGAGGGTCATAGTTTTCTTGAGGTTTTCACATTCAAGAGGTAAGGATATTGGAATGTGGTATTGCCCCTTTAGGATCTTCTTTCATAGCTCTCATTAGTCCTCTCCCACAGAAGGCAGGGACACCAGTGACGATGGTGACAGAATGATTAGCATGTTTCACACATTCACATTTCACATATTCAGAGTGGGTGAAGGGGGGAGTGTGGGGCTGAGGGTGACTTTGGATCATTGTACTTTTGGCACAGGAAGGGTTCTGGGGTAGTATAAGGGAGGCTCTTAAAATAGGTTTTCTGCTTATGGCCAGTGGTGAACTCATTGCTCAGGCCAAAGTCTGCAGTTTTTACTTTCAGTCGAGTGTCACAAAGCAGGTTCTCTGCTTCAGGTCCTTGTGGATTATTCCCTACTGCACAGTGGCTACTAGCTGCTGGAATTTGCCTCTGGCTTCTTTGTCATGTGGCCATGGTCCACTGTAAACAACCAAACAGGTCTCCTCCACTAACGTACTCCCAGACAAGGAATAGTGCTTCCTCAGTGTCAGTCACCTCCACTTTACAATATTGGTGTGATTCAGGGTCTTTGTGCTGTGTGCTTCATAGAAAAGTGCTTCATGGAAAAGTGCCTGGAAACGGGAGGAGCTCTGCTGACTCTCCTTAATGACCTTCACAGCCTCTGTCCCTGTCAAGATGTGCTGGGCCACCTTCACCATTGCAAAGTTACCCTGCCCAATGGTCTCATAATTGGAGCTCATAAATGAAGATATGGGTAATTAGTTACCAGAGATGGCTGCAAGGCCCTACTGCATGGTGATCTGCTAACCATTCTAAGTGGCAGTGCCAACTGTGCTAACAACACTAATACTAATGATAGAAAATAAAATTATGCTTACTAATTACGCTAATAAAATAAAAAAGTGAGAAAAGAAAATGAAGAAAAATAAGAAAATAGAACCAAAAAGAAAAAGGAAAATAGAAAAAAAAAAAAAGGGAAAAACAAAAGAATGAAGAATGAAGAAAAAAGAAAACAAGATGGAAAGAAAAAAAGGAGAAAACAACCTGTCAGGTACCAAAGTCCATCAGGTCACCAAAAACAAGCTTTCAGGGCTTTAAGGACCAAAAACCTAGGCCCAGCCAGGGGCCCAGATGGGTGTTTGTAATTCCATTGCAGTGGTGGAGGGCAAGAAATGGACAAGTAATGCTGGGGATAATCTACAAGGGTTTTCTCACTTTTTGGTCTTAAGACTTCTTGTTCTTTTTTATTTATTTATTTATTTATTTATTTATTTATTTTAATTTTATTTTTTATAAACATATAATATATTTTTATCCCCAGGGGTACAGGTCTGTGAATCGCCAGGTTTACATACTTCACAGCACTCACCGTAGCACATACCCTCCCCAATGTCCATAATCCCACCCCCCCTCTCCCAACCCCCCCCTCCCCCCATCAACCCTTAGTTTGTTTTGTGAGATTAAGAGTCACTTATGGCTTGTCTCCCTCCCAATCCCATCTTGTTTCATTTACTCTTCTCCTACCCCCTTAACCCCCCATGATGCATCTCCTCTCCCTCATATCAGGGAGATCATATGATAGTTGTCTGTCTCCGATTGACTTATTTCACTAAGCATGATACCCTCTAGTTCCATCCACGTCGTCGCAAATGGCAAGATTTCATTTCTTTTGATGGCTGCATAGTATTCCATTGTGTATATATACCACATCTTCTTTATCCATTCGTCTGTTGATGGACATCTAGGTTCTTTCCATAGTTTGGCTATTGTAGACATTGCTGCTATAAACATGCGGGTGCACGTGCCCCTTCGGATCACTTTCTTGTTCTTTTTTTAAGATTTGTTTATTTCTTAGAGAAAGTGGGAAGCGTGGGTGGGGGTGGTGAGGAGAGAATATCAGAAGCAGCCTCCCTGCTGAGCAGGAAGCCCTGTGCAGGGCTCAGTCTTACAACTCTGAGATCATGAAAGAGTCAGACACTTAACTGACTGAGCCACCCAGGCACCATGCCTCCCTGCCCCCCCCAAGGGACTCCAAGAGCTTTCTGTTTAGGTGGATTATTAGAGAGTAATATTTACTTTATTGAAAATTAAAATCTGTTGTGCTTCACTGGGCTTTTCCTTTCTAGTTTGGAAATCTGTAATAATTTCTGGCATTAAATACTTCAGCATTTACACTTAAAATATTCATTTCCTTTTGCTTAAACTCTGGTCTCAAAATGATGATATGTCTGTTGGCATCACAGTATTGTAGGAAAGAGTTTTGTCACATACAACACAATAAGGTACATTATTAACATCTGTAAAGCTGCTGGATAATGACAAATAAAATAGCTGTAGAGTACACACAAAAGGAAATGAGAAGGGACTTAAAATGTTTTACTACCAAAGTAAAAATCAGCTGAACACAAAAGAAGATAGTGGTGCAGAATAACAAAAAAGCTGTAAGGCTTACAGAACACAGACACCAAAATGACAGAATTAAGTCCTTCCTTAACAGTAATTTCTATAAATATAAATGCATTAAACTGGAAAAAGACAGATTGGCAGATTGGCTAGAAAAACCTGATCCAATTATTTATTTACAAGAGACTCAGTTTAGATCCAAAGACACAAAAAATTTTAATATGAAAGAGTGGGAAAAGAGAATTCACATAAATAGTAACCAAAAGAGAGCTGGGGTGGCTGTACTGAGATGAGTCAAGATAGATTTTAAATCGGAAAAATTTGCAAGGGACAAAGAAGGACATAAAAGGTTCAGTACAGCAAGAAGATAAAATAATGGTAAACATTTACACATGTAATGACAGGTCAGGAAATTATATGAAGCAGCCCTTCCCTTTTGTGGCCATGGCGCAAGTGCCCTCAGCCAACATGAAGTTTAATCCCTTTGTGACTTTTGACCAGAGCAAAAACTGTAAATGGCATTTCAGTGCACCATCCCACATTCACAGGAAGATCATGTCTTTTCCTCTTTCCAAAGAGCTGAGATGGAAGTAAAAGGTTCGATCCGTGCCCATCCGAAAGGATGATGAAGTGCAGGTTGTGCGAGGACACTACAAAGGTCAGCAAATTGGCAAATTATCCCAGGTTTGCAGGAAGAGGCATGTCCTCTACATTGAACGAGTACAGCGAGAGAAGGCGGATGGCCCAACTGTCTGTGTGGGCGTTCACTCTAGCAGGGTGGTTATCACTAGACTAAAACTGGACAAAGACCGCCAAAAAGTCCTTGAACACAAAGCCAGATTTTGCCAAGTAGGAAAGGAAAAGGGCATATATAAGGAAGAAACAATTGAGAAGATGCAGGAGTAGAATAATCTTATATGCAACTTTAAATAAAAACAGCTAAGGGTCGCCTGGGTAGCTGAGTCTGTTAAGCGTCTACCTCTGGCTGGGGTCATGATCCCAGGGTCCTGGGATTGAGCCCCACATTGGGCTGCTTCTCCTGCTCCCTCTGCAGCTCCCCTTGCTTATGCTCGCTCTCTCTGTCAAATAAATAAAATCTTTAAAAACAGTCAAAATGAAAAAAATTCTATGAAGCAAAAATTGACAAAAAGATGGAAGAAGTAGATAATTTTACAATGATATTCAAGAGTGGGTAGAACCAGACAGAGAACAGAAGTGAGGAAATAGAGAACTTCAATAACAATAACCCAACCAGATCTAAGAGACACATACAGGACCCCACCCAGAAACAGCACATGTGTTCTTCTCAAGTGCACATGGGACCTTCTGTAGGACACACCTGCTATTAGGCCACAGTGTAAGTCTTGGTAGCAAGATAGATATCATACAAATTTCTTTTCTGACCATAGTGAAATGAAGTTAGAAATCAGTAACAGGAGGAAAACTGGAAAATTCACAAATTTGCGGATGTTAAACATGCTCTTAAAGAACCAGTGGAGTGGGCCAAAGATGAAATCACAAGGGAAATTTTTAAATACTTAGAGATGAATAAAATGAAAACACGATATACTAAAACTTATGGGACACAGTAAAGCAGTGCTAAGGGAGGAATTCATAGCGATAAATGCTAACATTGGGGAAAAAAAAGAAACCTCTCTTTTAAGATTTTATTTATGTATTTGAGAGGGAGCAGACACAAGTAGGGGGTAGGGAGGGCAGAAGGGGAGGAGAGGGTGGGAATCTCAATGCTTGACCCCGGGCTGAGCACAGTCCCAGCTGGATTGACTTAAAGAAAAACAACTCCCATTTCTAAAATTGGAAATGAACTTTATTGGGAATTTACTACCTATTCTACAGGGGGTAAAAAAGGATTATAAGAGTCCTGTGAACACTTGTACAATAGATTTTTATAACCTGGATAAAATTAATAAGTTCCTGGAAACACAAACTATCAAAACCAACTCAATAAAAATCGTACTTTTGTCAAGTAAGGAGATCAAATCGGATCCTGAGATCTACTGGCAAATAGATTCACTAGTGAATGCTAACTAACTAACATTTAGTTATCAAAGAAATCAAAGAGGGGAGGAACACTTACTAAATTTTCATTCTATGAGCCAACATTGCTCTGATAACCAAGGCCGAGCAAATGCTACAAAAATTAAACTACAGGTCAGTAGCCCTTACAAATACAATGATTTGAGAATCTTGAATAAAATACCAGTAAATCAATTAGCAATAATCGCACCTCGGATAAACCTCATTGGCTACGATACTGCCACTGCGCAAAGCTTAAAATACCAGTAAATCACATTAAGCAGTCTGTTAAAAAGATTATACACCACGAGCAAGTGGGATTTGTTCCTGGAATGCTAGGATGATTGCACATCGAAAAAGTGATCGGTATAGTACACATTTATAGAATGAAAGGAACAAAAAAAAAAACAATACATGATCATGTCAACTGATCCAGAAAAAGCCTTTGACGAAATTCAGCAGCCTTTCATGACTCGAAACACTAGGAATAGAAGACTGTTACTTCAGCATGATAAAAGCCATATATGAAAAGCACCCAGTGAACATCATACTGGTAAAAGACTGATATGATAGTGCTTCCTCTGATTTAGTTCAGGGACAAGGCAAGAATGCCCACTTGCCACTACTTCTATTCATAACTGTACTGGAAGTTCTAACCAGAGCAGTTTGGCAAGGAAGAGAGAGAAAAGACATCCATATGGGAAAGGAAAGAGTAGATGCAGATGACGTGATCTTATATATGTAGAATATCTAAAGATTTCATACTAAAAAATGAAAATAACCTGTGACAGCACTAATAAACTAATTCAGCAAAGTTGCAGGAGAGAAAGTGAACACACAAAAACCAGTTGCATTTCTGTATACTAACAATGAACCTAGCCAAAGAGGAAACCAGGAAAACAGTTCCACTTATGATAGCATCAAAAAAAGTAAAATTAGCTTGGTAGGAAAGACCAGTACTATCTGATTTCACTCATATATGGGATCTAGGAAATAAAACAAATGAGCAAAGGCCAAAAAAAAAAAAAAAAAAAAAAAAGACACAAACCAAGAAACAGACTGTTAACTCTAGAGAACACACTCATGGTCACCAGAGGGGAGGCAGGTGGGGTGATGGGTGAAATTGGTGATGGGTATTGAGGGGTGCACTTAGGATGAGCACCTGGTGATGTGTGGAAGTGTTGAGTCACTGTATTGTACATCTGAAGCTAATATAACTGCATGTTAACTCTACTGGAATTTTTTTTAAAAATTGAGTTTAAAAAATTAACTTAGTGTATGAAAGACCTGTAAACTGAGAACTATAAAACTGCTGGGAAAAATTAAAGAAGATATAAAAAGATAGGCATGTCACGTTTTTGGCTTAGAAAACTTAATTTCATTAGGATGACAATACTACCCAAAGCCATCTACATATTCAGTGCAATAAAATTTCAATGACTGTTTTTTGCAGAAATAGAAAAACACATCCTAAAATTCAGCTAGAACATCATGGGACTCTGAATAGTGAAAACACTGTTGAAAGCTCAAAACAAAGTTGAAGTCTCCCACTTCATGATTTCAAAACTTACTGCAAAGCTACAGTAATCAAAATGTTGTGGTACTGGCATAAGGGAACATGTGTAGATCAATGGAATATAGAGCCCAGAAATTGACCTTCACGTACAGGATCAGTTGAACTTGCACAGGGGTGCTGAGTCCATTTAGTGGTAAAAGGACAGTGTCTTCAACAAATGGTAGTGGTCCTGGGAAACTCTACCTGCAAAAGAGTAAGCTTGACCCTTATTTATTAACCATGTACAAAAATTAGATCAAACCAAAGGCTTTAAGAGTTAAAACTATAAAATTCTTGAAAGTAAATATAGGGGGAAAATTATGACATTGGATTTGACAGTGATTTTGTGGCTATGACCCTGAAAGCACAGACAATGACAGGAAAAACAGGTAAATTGGACTTCATCAAAATTAAAAACTGTAAAGACACTATCAAGAGAGTAAAAAGACAATCAGAATAAGAGAAAATACCTGTAAATCATATATCTGATAAGGAATTAGTATTCAGGATATGTAAGAACTCCTACAACTCAAGAACATGAAACTCAATTAAAACTGGCACAAGACCTGGATGGACATTTCTTCAAAGAAGATATGCAAATGGCTAATTCACACATACAAAAATGCATGTCACTAGTCATTAGGGAAATACAAATCAAACCAACAATGAAGTACCACTGCACACTGATTGTTATTTAAAAGATGGGGGTGGGGGGCTCACCTGGGTGGCTCAGTCAGTTAAGCCTTAGCATCTTTGTCTGCCTCTGGCCCAAATCATGATCCCGGGGTTCTGGGGTTGAGCCCTGGGGAGTCTACTTCTCCCTCTGCCACTCCCCCTGCTTGTGCTTTTTCCTGCTCTTTCTTTCTGTCAGATAAATTAATTTAAAAAGCATGTGTTGGGCAGGACCTGGAAAATTGGAACCCTTGTGTATTGCTGTTAAGAAGTTGAAACAGGGGGCACCTGGGTGGCTCAGTGGGTTAAGCCTCTGCCTTCAGCTCAGGTCATGATCTCAGGGTCCTGGGATGGAGCCCTGCATCGGGCTCTCTGCTCAGCAGTGAGCCTGCTTCCTCCTCTCTCTGCCTACTTGTGATCTCTCTCTCTCTCTCTCTGTGTCAAATAAATTAAAAAAAAAAAAAAAAGTTGAAACAGTGCTGGTGCTATGGAAAGCAGTTTGGTTGTTCCTTAAAAATGTAAACAGAGTTACTGTATGTCTTGGCAAACTCACTTTTAGGTATACACCTAAAAGATTTAAAAATAGGATCTCAGAACAGATACTGATACACTGTTGTTCATAACAGAATGAGAGTCAAAAAGTAGAAGCAACCCACATCAGCAGGTGAAAAAACTAAGCAAAATACAGTATATGTTAACTAACTCGAACTTAAATAAAATTAATAAAAAAGGATAAGCAAGATGTGGTATTATTTACATGCAATGGCATGGTAGTCACTGTAGGAAAAAAGTTCTGATGCATGCCATGTGTTGAACCTGGGAAACACCATGCTGAGGTACACTGTAGGTGAGGACAGATACTTTGTAATCCCACTTCCCTGGGCTGTTTAAAAAAGGACAACTCAGAGGCGCCTGCGTGGCTCAGTGGGTTAAGCCTCTGCCTTCGGCTCAGGTCATGATCCCAGGGTCCTGGGATCGAGCCCCACATCAGGCTCTCTGCTCTGCGAGGAGCCTGCTTCCTCCTCTCTCTCTCTCTGCCTGCCTCTCTGCCTACTTGTGATCTCTGTCTGTCGAATAAATAAATAAAATCTTAAAAAAAAAAAAGGACAACTCATAGAAAGTAGAGTAGAGATTATTAAGGGCTAGAGGAGCGGGACCTAGGTTATTATTGCTTAATCTGTATGGAGTTTCTGTTTGCTGTGATGAAAAAGTTCTGGAAATAGATGGTGATGTTGCCATCACCACAACACCGCAGTGTGATGTTCTTACAGATGAGGAAATTAAGATCAGTACCTTTTCTTCATCCAAACTCTTCCTCTCAAATCCAGACTGCATCTTAATGGACAGATCTCTGACCTTGAAATGTGATTTCATAAATCATGTATTTATTACCACCTCATAGTGTGCTCAGCCGTGCAGTGTCATGTGGTGGGGAAGCACGTGGAGTTACGGAATATGAAATGTTCATCCTTTTTCCTTGTTTTCATGGTAGTGTTGTGTTTCCACCTTAAATTAGTACTTCGTAATGACGTCTCTAAAATGTTGTCCGAGCAAGCTGTGCATTGGTGATCCAGTTGGGCAGGTGGATCTTTATTTTGCCAAAATCTTAACTAGCACAGTTTCAGTCCAGTTAAACCTTCCTTTCAATAACTTTTGAAAGAGAAACAAAGTGTTGTGAAACTTCGTACATTTCTGTTCTT